GAGGCTCCTTCCCCTCTCCGCTTCACCTCTACTCCCACCTCTCTCAGTTTTAATTTTTCTCTGTTTTTTTGGCCTTTCCTAGCGATCTCTATCTGTTTTTGCAGGTTTCTGCTGTGTGTTTCTCCCCCCCGACAGCTCGGGCCGGCATGGGGACGAGTGGGAGAGCGAGCGGGCGGCGGGGAAAACCAGGGGCTACTTACACTTGACTTGCAGGATCTGGTCGCTGAGGTTAGCCTGGATGTAGTAGGTGCTGTAGGGAGGCAGGACCAGCCCCAGGCTGCCGAGGGGGAGAACAGACAGGGGGTGTGAGGCTTTACACCCACCCAACTCCCTTGGCCAGCCCCCTGCCCCTGCCTGGCACCCCCTGGCAGCACCCAGCTCATGTTCTGGGGGCACCCAGGTTGTCCCCAGAGCATCCCAGGTCATCCTGGTGACACCCAGGGCCGTCCTTGGAGCAATGTGGCCATCCCGGTGGCATCCCCAGACACCGGGGGTAGCAAGCCTGCGCAGCCAGGGCCGAGATGGGCAGGACGTGCCTGCCTGGGAGCAAAGGGAGATGCACATGGAAGAGGGACATGACATCCCCCAAAGGGAGGAAGGTGAGGAGACACACAGCCCTTGAAAGAAGGGACAAAATCCCACGAGGAGAGACAACCACTACACAGGCACCGATTACTGGCGAGCCAGGAAGGAGTAGCAAGCCTGCGCAGCCAGGGCCGAGATGGGCAGGACGTGCCTGCCTGGGAGCAAAGGGAGATGCACATGGAAGAGGGACATGACATCCCCCAAAGGGAGGAAGGTGAGGAGACACACAGCCCTTGAAAGAAGGGACAAAATCCCACGAGGAGAGACAACCACTACACAGGCACCGATTACTGGCGAGCCAGGAAGGAGAGGATTCCCCAGCCAGGACTTTGGCATACAGGGGTGGGAAAGGAGGTGGCAGGAGGTGGTGCTGGGTCCGTCAAACCCGCAGGGCGCTGGGCTCCTGGCCTTTGGTGGTGGTGTCTGTGCCAGGTCCTGCCTGGGGTAAGTGAGCACCGGCAGCGGGGGCTGCCCCCCTTGCACACACCTGCCCCTGAGACACCAGGACCCACAGTCGTCGTTCTGCTCTCCCCCTCCTCAGCTGCCCCCTGTGCTGTGGGGTGGGTTCACGTCACGCAGAGATCAGCAGGAGCCAGGGGTGTCCCTTGTCCAGGACCTGGCACGCCAGCCCTGTTGTGCCCGTTCTGAGCTCCGGGGGCCGTGGCAGTGCCGCATATGGGCAGGCAGCACTTTTGGGAGTGCTAGAGCATCACTTGCTGTGTGCAATGATCCGATAGCAGGTCTGCAACTCTGCAGCCCAGGGGACGTGCTCCTGGTGGCCTTGGGGACCTCATGAGCCGCAGACACGAAACGGTGGCCCTGGGCTGGTGTGGGCCTGGCTGATGCTGGGAAATGGGATGTGCCAGCAGCACCACTCACCTGTAGTTGGTGCTTTTGATGGGGGCCCACGTGTAGGTCCTGAACCCCTCGTCGATGTATTGCTGCGAGGCAGAGGGAGCCAGTCAGGCCTTTGCAGTGCCAGGATCCTGCCTGTGTGGTGGCACAGGACCCCGGCTCCGAGCCTGGTGCCGGATGCAGCCCCTCACTCCTCACTGCCGGGGCTGGGCACTCGGCATGGTGGAGGTTTTGGCTGCGACCCCCTTCCCCCCAGCCTTACCTCATCCAGGGACTTGATGAGGGTCTTGATGAACCTCTGCCCGTCGTTCCCATCGATCATGCTTCTTCGGATCTAGGGGACACGGAGGAGGAGACTGAGGGCAACAGAGCCCGGCCACGCACCCCTGGGCACCCACACCAGAGGGGTGGCACTAGGGACCCGGGGGGGGGTGGGACTCATCGTGCTGGCACCCACGGGACAGTGACCCAGCTCCTGTCCCCACCGCAGCCCCACGGGAGCTGTGCCAGGGCCCTTAGGACGAGGTGCTCCCCAGGGCCAAGTGCTCTTTGCAACTGCAGATGGGGGGGGTCCACCTGTACCCCAAGAGCTGCCCCCAGGTCTGCCCACCTCCTCCTTGTTCTCATCCTCCAGCTCAGCATCCAGGAAATCCAGCGTCACCGGCTCGCGGAAATTGATGATCTGCAGGCAGAGAGGGAGGCCCAGGGAAGG